GAGGAATTGATGTTTCATTCGTAGATTCGTGGTTCGTGTAAAAGAAAATGGACGAAATTGCGTTAGACTGGGTTCGGAGCTGAGTAAGTCAAAATTTTCATTGCTAAGGCTACTCGCTTAATTACAAATAAACTGAAAATATATTAAAATAAAGCTCGACTATTTTCAATACGCTTCAGATAAAATACCATTTCTAAATACTATGTTGAAAAGTTACTGCAACAAATAAATTATTTCATTTTCACAGTTATGCACACGATTTTAAATAAAATCGACTATTTACTATTTGAAATAATACTTTAACCTGTGTTAATTCTTCAAATCGTAAAAGTTTTCAAATGAAACAGAAAATATTCTCAGTTATTTCATAATATGCATATCACAACTCCATTCAAGTTTCATTTATACCAAAATAAAGCAAATTAATAAGAAAAATAGAAATAAATAAATTCACAGACATTTACCATTTTTCCTTTCCAAAACGAAACTTTTGCTTTTCAAAAATTTCACCGCTAAAGTCTGCTGAAAAATGCTCAGAGTTCAAAACAGTGAAAAATAAAAACAAACACAGCTATATGGTCTTTCGACAATGATCGTTCGTGCAAACCTGAATATATCGAAAAATTTCGTATACAATTGATCCATGAATCCGTCACTCCAATTTATCATTGAAATTTCTTTACGATAGCCAATTTATTTCCTTCCAAAGAAACGAATCACCTCATTAAGGCGGCGAGTAAAATTATTGGATCATGATGATCGCGCTAAATGGTCCCAAAGTCCAAACACTCGATACCATCGGTTTCGTTTCGGCTGAGTTATACGAACTTTCGATTGTCTCGAGACAACAATGTCCCTGGTAGACGGCGGATTACGCGAGAGAAATCGTAAACCCGTGGTATTTTATTCAAGGAACCCTCGGATTAGTCGAGAACGAAGCCTGGCGAAAGAGGCGGATAAAACGTGCCAACGAATACGAACGCTTTTACGAAATCCGAGTCGGAGTCGTCTCGACGGTCTTAGGTGAATCACTGCCCGCACGTTGCTATACCATGGATTCCGCTTGATCGTGTTGAAATTTTATCAGAAAACATTTTCTATACTTACACTGGAGAGTGAACTATACAGGATGTTTCGCTTAAAACAGGCCACCCAAATATCTTTTCTATCTGTGATAATACGAGAAATATTTCTGATGTAATTTAAACGATTTCAAAGGGTGAATCTGATGGGAGAAACATTTTTTTGACGGATAAATTGACGAAAAATGAATGGAAATTCCACGTTTGATTAAAAATTTTGGAGACAGAGATCGTTTCAAGGTCATACTATTATCTATACATGGATGAAAGCATAGTAATGTTAGCTGTAACATGCAACAAAAAAAATTGTGTGCATATGCTTAAATAAACATGGATGACCTTAGAAAAAGAACATTGAAAAATGACATTTATAAATTCTTCTCCTATCTGATTCGTCTCTTAAAACCATTGAAATTACGTAAGAAATATTTTTCGTATAGAAAAGATATTTAGGTGGCCCCTTTTATGTGAAACACTCTCTATAAAAGAGAAGAAAAGCTTTTTATGTGTGCAGTTTCTTTGTTCATTTTAGATCTTTGCAATGTTCTGTTTGTTAAATGAAAAAATAGAAAAATATACGGGGTTGTTGAATGTTGGTTCTGTAATTGGATGGTCTAGTTGTTTCTTTAAGAAGGATTTTTTGTGTTCAGGATTAAATTTTGAAAGTACAGATTGGTGGCAAATACATATATATATTAGAAATCGTGTCTTCTATTTCAGAAGTCCTGAGATACCTGCATATTTCCATTTTTTAAATATTAGACTAACGAGGAGTAGGCAAGGCCTTCGGGTCACCGATTTAGTTAAAATTTTCAACACTTAGAGATCTCGTTCTCCTGTTTACGAATATATACCATTATAGCAGCAGATACTCGATAGTTTTTAAGATATTTGCAATTGAAATTTTCTTATTGGTATAAAATACAATTTTGATTGATGTAAATACGAACCGCCGTTGTGGCGTGTCGATAGCGAGTTAAACTTGTAATCCGGTGACTAAATAAAACATAATATTCACAATTAGATATTATTAATCACAACAGTGATATTTATCGTAAAAGCAGACAAATCATAAGTGAGTAAAACATTTTGCACATCTAATAAACGTATGTAAATGACTGGAAACGTATCTCGGCAGTTTCTGCCGTTTGCTTCACAATCAAAGCAGCTGTGATGAAAAATATTTTCAATTTATCAATCAGCCGGTTCCTTATACAAATAGTGATAAGTAGACTGCGGGTGTTTATGCAAGTAAAATATGTCAAAGTATGTAACAAATATTCAAGAAATATGTAAGTAAATATGCAGGAAATATGCAAAATATGCAAGAAGTATGCAGGCTATGCACGTATGATTTACATTGTTATTTTTACTTGTTATAATTCGAATTACAATAAATTACCATAGTTTTTTCTAAGTTATCGACTGTAAATTGACGACGCTTATCAGTTAATATTAATTTGTATGCCGAAAAAGATCGTTCTACATCGCAAGACGTAATTGGGGCATATTTCAGTTTGTGCCAGTAGCGTGTCTCAAGCTCTTTTGGTCTTTCAACAGCTATACCTTTCAAAATGTCTGCAATTTTTGATATAGCATTAAAATTTGGATTTCTCCCTAGAACTGTTTGTATCTTTGTAGAAATTTTTCTTCCACAATCACCAGGTATAGTTTTTAAGTTCTCAGTAGTTTGATTAATTAGTTCCACAGATTCAATTAGGGGCAACCCTACTGTCTCCAATTTTTTCATAATGAGTGGCAGCGTTCCGAAGTCAGCTCGTATGAACGTTAAATCTGGCATAGTTTGTTCATTTCGCAACGCTTCTTGTGCCTCTTCTTCATTGAAACTTTCGAAATGCGTGGCATAAAATAATGTATATCAATAATACACTATTTAGATACTTACAGATGTTATCGTCTAAGAGCTCAATGATGGATAAAACGTATTTTCCGAGATGTACACAGTGAAATGCATATGCTGTTACATATGTATGCAATATGCAATAAAACATGCAGTATGCATTATGCAAAATATGCAAAATAAAAAATACATTTTCGGTATATACGAATGACGTAACTTCTGTCCAAGTCCCACATCTTTATCTTCTTCAATCAAAAATATGCATTTTCATAAACATCCGCAGTCTAGTGATAAGTGTAAGAAAATCCGTTACATCCGGCGAGTGACGGCGCCAGCCGTATTAATCAGGAAATCCGATGCTGATTGATATTTTATTATTCTAACGAATTCTAAACAAGTGAAGAGTGAGGACGCGTCGTTAAATAAAAATTAAATAAAAGAAATTCGTTAAGTATAGGAGTCGAAACCCTAGTCACCGGATTACAAGTTTAACTCGCTATGAACATGCCACAACGGCGGTTGGTATTTACATCAATCAAAATTGTATTTTACTGCAATAAGAAAATTTTTTGAGTACCTATTGAGTACCTGCCCCTATAATGGTATATATTCGTGAACAGGAGAACGAGATCTGTAAGTGTTGAAAATTTTAACTAAATCGGTGACCCGAAGGCCTTGCCTACTCCTTGTAAACCAGGTCGCTATTATATTATGACATTCGCTAAAATTTTGGAAATTAATACGTCGTTTAATAAATGACTAAAACAGTATTCTTATTTTTTTTTTTTTTTCAGTTATGATAGTCATCTGAAATGACAAAGAAATATCAAATAAAATGGTGAAATTCGTGGAATATTTCTGCCAAATTTCATACCACAAATCTATCACACAAAATAAAAAGAAATTAATATATTCGCTACCAGCATTACATACGTATAACCAATTCTCACGACAGATCACTGTTATCTATATCTAGTACATTATACAAAATGTGCGGTTTGCGTATTTAATACTAATTAGGTGTAAGTACATACATCACCGGCTAAAAGTTTGGAATCACCTGCCAATTTGTAGATTTGAAATTGATGTTGTACTGATCAATAGCAATTTACCTTATTTCGTTTGATTTGAATGATAAAAAATTCTTAAAATTGCCAACCTTCTGCAAAATTTTGTGTAACCTGTAATGCACAGTGATCCGAAGCTTTTGGTCGGTAGTGTAAGTGCATTCTATTATGCCAAGCTGATAAAACTGTAGATATACAAAATGTAAGCAAAAGTAATACAAGTATATTAATTAATAATAACGATACGATCAATTCAACAGAACGATGGCGATCAGCGAACATGTCAAAATATTAACCTATTAACTGTATAAGATGAGTGAACTCGTCATTGGTTAGCCAATACTTAGAACACGATAATTTATTTATTGAAGGATTATTCATTTTTAATTGTATTGTTACGTAGATACGTCATATTCACATTTAGGACCTCGTATAACGCGATCAAGAAATTATTATTGCCCCCGATATAAAAAAAGAAGAAGAAAATTCTGAATTTGTAATTCTGGAACAGTTTTTTAATTTAATTAAATTTGACCCAAAAAGCGACATCAGTGGAACTTAACCCTTTGCACTCCAATGGCGCTGTTATGGCGACATGGAGAACTTTACTATGTAACATTCCGGTATTTTTATATTATCAAAATAATGCAAATTAAAATAAGAAATAGAAATAAGTAAATTTATAAGCGTTAAAAATCCTTTTGTTCTTATTTTTCAAAACAAAACTTTGGATTTTTAGAAGTTTCACTATTAATCTTATCGAGAAATGCTTGGAGCGCAAAGGGTTAATTTATATTATATTTCTGGCGTTATAGGGGATCCTACTGTTAATTGGTTATAATTTTCACTCATTTCTAAGTATCAACTAGGGAGGTTGAATATCTGTTCGAAAGGTGAACACAATTAATAGGTTAATATTCGTGGAATATTTTCTTTTTATTTTATGCTACTGTGTGTTTATCTTACAGAAAACTGATCGTTTCTTTTTAGCTGCGAGGGATGCAAGGGTTTCTTCAAGAGGACCGTGCGCAAGGACCTGTCGTACGCGTGTCGCGAGGAGAAGTCCTGCATCATCGACAAACGGCAGAGAAATCGATGTCAGTATTGCAGATACCAGAAATGTCTGGCGATGGGCATGAAGAGAGAGGCGGTCCAGGAGGAACGTCAGCGTACCAAGGAAAGGGATCAGAGCGAGGTGGAAAGCACCAGCAGTTTACACTCAGACATGCCGATCGAGCGTATCCTTGAAGCGGAGAAGCGAGTCGAGTACAAGATGGAACAGCAGGGAAACTACGAGGTAAATATGTTGAAAAGAAGAAGCGAACGAAAAAACGGAGAAAAGAAAAATTCGTAATGTTGGAACAGTTCACGCAGTAGTGGATTTATTGCAAGTAGATTCAACGAAATGTAACTTCGTCCCCCTTTCGAACACTCTGTACGCACGACTCGTTCTCTATCTTTTACAATTCGTCCGATTAAAACGTTGAAAAAGAAAAACGGGAGTATTCCATTTTTCTCTCTCTCTCTATTCTTTGTAGAATTTATTCATTAAGAACCTTAATCGAGCAACAGCTTTAGACAATATGCAGCCGTCTCGGGGCGAAATCAATTTATTTGTCATTGGACCCGGACGGGTGATTGAATTAAAGTCGTTTGAGATGTCCTTTAGTGGCTATCTGATATGCTATGATCGTTTCGTCGCGTAATGCGAATTAAAAAGTTGATCGAGTCGTGTGTGTGTGTGCGCGCGCGCGCGTGTGTGTGTGATGATAAATACGTTGCTCGGAATGATTGAGAATATTCAGCACGGGTAGCCGGAGACAGTCGTTATTAAAGAAAAATTCACACCGATGCATTAACTTTCTTTAACCACTTCTTCGCAATCTTAAAGTAAAAGCCACAAGTTCGATTTTTTTTTAGCAGACTATGTACCGAAAGCCGCCCAGAAATCAGAAAGTCGAATGTTAAATTCAATTACGATTGAATTGTAAGAAATTTCGAGTTATCGTTTTTCAAAAAACAAAATTGGCAATTCAAAGCGCGAGATAGCTATTGAGACATTCCACGAATTGAATGCACAGTGGTTGCTGGTGCTCGTTTAACCCTTTTCCTCGAATACAGCGTGCCTCACTTGTAACGATCGCCTCAATTATTTCTGTTACTATGGAATATAAGAAAGCACGACTGAAGAAGTTTGATAAAAAAGAAAAAGGATCCCCAAGGTCATATCTTGATGGACATTCCAAGATCATCGACGTTCTTTTGCATATTAATGTTAGATTTTTAAGTTAAGTTGTAGCCAATATCAAGACGAGTTCAATGACCTATGACATGACATGACCTTGAAATGGCATTGAACAATGTAAAAATAACGAGACGAGGGAGAAATAAGTGTGTCTATATGGAGAAAATTGGTGATGAGCTTGAGTGACTTTTTTTTTTTATCATAAACTCCTTTAGTCAATAATTTAGTGAATAATTTAGAAACTCCTTTAGAAATAATTTAAATGTTCGTTATAAATGAAACACACCCTGCATACGTATAAAGTTCATGGCCACTGTGACTATTTTTCTTGCTCAAAAATGTATGAGTTTATTCGTTACGAACAACATATGACAAGGTGGCTCAGCTGAAAGGGTTCATCCACATATCTGCCTTATTTGTTCTTTTATGAAAAAGCTTCTCAGGACAAAGTTACACTATTTTAGGGGGCACGTGTAATCATGGAACCCATTTTTTCTCAAAGTCATTGTTATTTTTTTAAATCGAACCCTATATTTTTTTTTCAATATCCATGTAGAGAGTGACAAAACAAATTCAACGACCTTAACACTAGATTTACGGACATTTATTATTACCTACATATTTCTACGAACACGTGTCAAATTGACACGTGATTGAAACCGCACATTTTCTTTAAAAAAACAACATATTTTATTTAAAAACAACGTATTACACACTATTAACTTATAAGTGGTAGGAGAGAAATGTAAACGGTTTCTGTAAATTTCCTTGTGAAATTCGAAATCCGTAAAAATCACGCGCCCTGTAAACCTAGTGTTAATAACCACACCATTCTCTTCATTTAATTTCGAGATATTTGCGTCTAAAGATAATTAGAATTTCCTAAGGATTCACGTGGTACACTGATTCACACATTCGTATTCGAACGTAAACGATACATGATAGTTTGCCCACAACATTATTCGACGTGTGCAGAGACAGTGTTAGACAGGATGTTTAGAGGACGTTGGATCGAACGACGAGGAACTGTGGAGTGTCCAGCAAAGTTCTCCTAATCTTACCCCATTAGATTTTTATCTGTCGAGTAAACTTCGAAATATGCATAGCAGCAAATGGCCATCATTTTGAGCATCTCTAACCTTTGAAATTCACAGTCAGTTGTAAAAGTATCTTCTGTTACCGCTTTCGATAACAGGTAAGACTTATGATTGGATAGGAATATTTGAATCAGTATACCACATGAATCCTTAGGAATTTTTAATTACCTTCACACATAAATATCTCGAAATTGAACGATGGGAATGGTATGGTTATTAAGGTCGTTGAATTTGTTTTTTCACTCTCTACAAGACTATCGAAAAAAAATTTAAGGTTCCATTTAAAAAAATAGCGATGACCCTGAAATTTCGTAAAAAAAGAAAATGACCTTGTGAAGAAGCCGTTTCCACGATTACATGTGCCCCCTGAAATAGTATAACTTTGTCCCGAAAAGTTTTCTCATACAACAACAGATAAGGTAGATAGATGAGCCACCCTCTGTGTAAGTTAACTGTTCTTAAAGGGTTATAAAAAAAATGTTTGAAAAACGAAAGAAAAACGCGGTCCGCGCGTATTCGTCCTTCTATCTTCTCTGGCTAGCGAACAGTGGCGCCGTGAATCGGATTTTCGTGGAATGGTGCGCGTAGCTGTTCCACGAAACGCTCCTTCGATTAATTCGGCATCTCTTGCAATGCACAGAATGCAGTGTCGCACATTTGCAACGCCACGAACAAACAGCTGTTCCAGCTGGTAGCATGGGCGAAACACATCCCGCATTTTACGTCGTTGCCACTGGAGGATCAGGTACTTCTGCTCAGGGCCGGCTGGAACGAATTGCTGATAGCCTCCTTTTCCCACCGTTCCATCGACGTGAAGGACGGTATCGTGCTGGCAACGGGGATCACCGTGCACAGGAACTCGGCGCAGCAGGCTGGCGTGGGCACGATATTCGACCGAGTATTATCCGAGCTTGTGTCGAAAATGCGTGAAATGAAGATGGACAGGACAGAACTTGGTTGTCTCAGGTTAGTAATAATCAGGTTAGAAGCTTGTTTCTTTCATTACCGAGCGCTATAGCTCGTCTGAAATCAGTTGACTACTCAAGGTCACTAGGTAACTTACCCCCACCATTTGACTAGAAAGGGGAGGTGCCCGGTTAGTACGCAGGCGCCCTCTACTGAAGCTCTGATGAAGCTACAGAAGAGAGGAACCGCTTATCGTTATTTTTTATAATGGAGAATGTGACCTTGAGAAAGAAATGAACCATTTGAATACAAATTAAATTGGAAACAATTTTCTTTCTTCGTCTGATTAAATTTTTTCACAAAGATAAGTGTATTTTAACGTGTGTATCGTTTCAAATAAGTTTAATCCTCGTTAACCCTTTGAGTGCTATGGATGCATATATGCGTCCGGCGAAAACTATCGGTGTAGACTATGGGCGCGTATATGCGTTTGTCGATTTTTTCGATATCCCGTGTAGCACAGTTACAATTATCCTTATATGAGATAAATATGTTCCGCGGACCACCCGTTCTTTCATTATTTAACTTGGTGTAAAAGAATCACAGTAATAACTTATTGTGTGAACAGCGTTCACACTAGCAAAAAAGTATTACGGAGAGCTTCGGCAGGGAGTATTCAGCACTTAAAGGGTTAAAAGTGATCGCGTGGTTAATTGAAAACATTAATTTTGAACTCGACTCCCCCTTTCTACATTGATTTTGTCATTTCTCTATCGTGTGGTTGATCATAAACAGATCCATCATACTCTTCAACCCTGAGGTCCGAGGACTGAAATCCATCCAGGAGGTGACGCTGCTCCGCGAGAAGATCTACGCAGCCCTGGAGGGCTATTGTCGCGTGGCCTGGCCCGACGACGCTGGTAGATTCGCGAAACTACTGTTACGTCTGCCGGCCATTCGGTCGATCGGGCTGAAATGTCTGGAGTACCTGTTCTTCTTCAAAATGATCGGCGACGTGCCGATCGACGACTTCCTCGTGGAGATGCTCGAGTCGCGGTCAGATCCTTAGGAGCAAAAGGTGTGCCGCGTTCTGGGGCACACCGATCTATGAACGAAAAAGAACAACAAAAGAAAAAAAAATATATAGATATATATATAGATAGATATATAATATATCAAAACAAGAAAGAAACAGCTATGAAGATATGTGTGTAAAGAAAGAAATTCTCTCGTCGGTAAACTCTAATGATATATGCCTCCCACGATAAAAAAAAAAAAGAACGAATAATGGAAAAAAAGGTATTCTCACGTGTGTAGACCGAGGTGGAATTTACTTACGTTTCTCTTCTTCATCACATATAATCAATGCGACCAATCGCTCGCAACAAGGTGGCAGTGGCAACTGGAATCGGACAGCAAGGACTTGTCGAACCTTCTCAGACAACAGGAAAGGAGCGGAGGCTGGGTAGGACTGAATTCCAAAGTGGGAGTATCGAGCGATGTAAACCCTGTACAAGAATAGGTACAGATTAACGCGATAGACCTGATGAATGGTGCAGATCTCTCAGATGGCGGTGAGGTTCCAAGTAGTTGTCATTCTGGAATATTCAATAGACGTACAGAACCCGACACCTCCTGTTGCAACTGGTAGAGGAACACCCGTTTCCTGAACGGTTACATGCATTTGTTCGAGTGCTTTACGCAACTCTTCGCAGTCATCATCAAGCAACAGTTCGCGTCGCTTGCTCTCCTGAAGCTGTTTTGATCCGACTCGGACTCTGAAATCGGTGGTTGTCTTGCTTCGCGCAGCTCTTCCTGACCTTCGCTTAGCAGAGAATGATTTCTTCACGGTATCTCTACCGGATTCAACCATCTCCTTTTCTTCTTTATTCATAATGCTGTTAGACATTTTAAAACACTTTGGCGTTCTACTCGGACCGCACAAAATAAGCTGGTATGAAGGCGGTCCGTCCTTTTCTTCGATTCGTATCGAGAGCATGTCGGAAGTCGCAACGATACACTCGCAGAGAACAAGATGGCCGCCGCAGCGACCTCTCCAAGTTAGTTCAACGAATTTTCTATTTGTGGAAGTCGCTGCTGCGTTTCAGTGTGCGATCTCTCTCTCTGTGCTTTCTTTAGTCTGTGACACGCATCGTGTCGTGTCGTGTCATAATTATATCGTATGTCCGAGCAAAGTTCCCACGTGTGCGACGATTTCCTACAGGATATTGCCGATATTCGATTTGCACGGGCCACGATTGCGCCCACGTTGAACCGTGCACTATCTCCCTACAGCCACATGGAAGTTCCTAAGACGCTGTTTTTTCGTGTTTTTTTTTTTTTTTTTTTTTTTGCTCCTTTCCCCACTCCCCTCACCGTTGACGAGTCAGTTTCTCTGCTTCACGAGTCTTTCAAAATATTATAGTTGTACAGATGCACGATTCTCTGACGATCTCCTCCGAATGTATTGGACACGGTACGTCGACATGGGCGCAATCCATAATAAGCATAATAAGTTGTCGGGTATTTTTACATTCCAACGCTGCCTCGATTCGGATCGTCACTTGGAAGAGCCACGATCGCATCTAGATTTATTATTATTATTATACATATTTGCATAAAACGGAAGCGTTTTACACGTGTGCACTATACGATAATTTATTGTTTTGTATTTTAGAGTATAGATGAAAAGAGATGGAACTTACTAATTCATTATTAATTAAATATATTATAATAGTGTTCTTTTATATATGTGTGTGTGTTGTGTGTGTGTGTCTGTGTGTGTATACACATGTATACATATATGTATATATATGTATAGGTATAGTCAACAGCCCATGCCAGTCTATCCATCCTGTCGTACCTCAGGTGAGACTGATATTTCAATCCCCAATCCTATACAAGTCTAAACGTATTAAGCACATCTCTAGGGAGGGTCGTCTTCACCCTGGCCAAATTGGGACCAGCTGCTGAATGTCCATCTTTCAGCAGTATCGTCGTAGCTATACTGGTCGTTGGCCGGGAGACCCGTTCCGCCTAGGCAGAAATCTGACCATTCGGTATTTATAATTGACCTCCACCACAACGACGGCGTCCGCAACCCCATTAACGTACTCCCATTCAGGCCTACTCTCCAGTTAACATCCCATGAGTAACCTTCAAGCAATGTTAGGAAACTCTCTATGCACCACCGAGTCGTCGTTCCCGTCCCCGCCCCAGCTTTTGCAATCAAGTCCGCCCAATATCGGCCTGCCAATACATCCACCCGCGGGAAGGCAATCCTATTGCTTTGTCTCACCGCGCGTTTCCAATGTTCGAAGCTCTTACGCAAGTACCGTGCCCTCATCGACCGGTCCAAACCACCATTTCTCATTTTCACCATGACCTGCCCGGTGTCTTCCTCATTATAAGTATCGAAAGCGACATACCCGGTGGCCACTGCCATCGTCGCCATGTTCCCCCAATACCCCAACCTCAATATTGAATCCTGAATTTGGAATGTTGAAACAAGTGCTGCCTGTGTGTAGACAACATTATTACAGATCATCTATAATATTATTGGAAAAAATACAGTTGTGCAATAAGAGTGTATGAAGGACCAAACACAGAGTTACATGACATAATATAGAATAGTAAAAAGAATACGAATTTAAGTCAAAGCGGAAAATCAGAAAGTAAGCTCTTAAAGAATTACACGTCCATCGCGACGATCCTGCCTTGGAACTCGATCATCCACTCGAGCGTCCCTTCGTGGTCAGGACCTGGAGGAGGTGGAGGCTCTCCTGCTCTACCTACAAGTGTTGCTGGACCTGCAGTGCCTGCACCGCCCCCTATTAAGTTTACAGACAAACGAGGCGTTGTAACAATAGTTTGAGAGTTTAACTGTAGATTGTGAGAAACAAGGATCGGATGCTCTATCGCTTCTGTACACTCCACAGGTGGTATTACATTACATTTTTCAAAATCAGCTACAAAAGCCGCATCGATCTGCCTCTTTCAACTTGGCGGTATCACAGTAGTATATGGTATCATAGGCAACGTCTACTGAATAGCATCAGCAGCTACAATTTTCATAATGCTAGAAAATGCCTTTGCGCGTTCTGTTACTGTTCGCTTCATCTCTTCATACGTTACTATTCGCGCCCCAACAGGCAGATTCCTGGCAGCTCTGGCCCAACCTGCTCGTGCTTCTACGTCATTTTCCATTGTTTGAGCAACTTCAGCTGCTGCAGAGCCTGGTCTGTCCTCCGTGTTCTTTGCTATTGCTACTTCACCACCCTAATGGCTTGGCCAGGGCCTCCTGGAAGCGGAAGGGTTGGGTACTCGAATGTATCTCCTCCGATGACCCGAACCATATGATTGTTTTTAGCCCGTTGACACGTGTAATGGCCTCTTAAATCTTCTACACGCATAAAAATCTCTGATGATAATCACCGGATGCCCGTAGCTAGTAAGCGTAATGTTACATCGCTCTCGGCACACGTTGAGTTTGTCTGCCCACCATACCCCGCGAATCCGGCATCCTTAGCCAACTCATTTTTTATGTAAATGCATAAGTAAGCTAAGTCTGCATATTTCCTGAGTTGTACTGCTGGCTTATTTACTTCGACACCACATCTGCAATGGTTGTTAAACTTGTTACGTTGGTATTGGCTGATTGTTCTATTATCCATGTTAGCGGCATAACAACTTGGTTGGTTAGCTGATTCCATCATGCCACCAGTTGTCTATATACCACATCCCAACCAAGGTCTCCCTTGGGATACATCTGTGCGAAGTATTTGCAGATATGTTCATTTACAACGTCCCCAAGAGCTGCCTAAAACTGCTCCTGCAGCTAATGATCTGGCTGTCCTCTTAGACTG